CACACACACACACACACACACACACACACACACACACACTATATACATATATATATATATATACATATATATCGTCAAATATATATATATCGTCAAATAGTCAAACAGAGCTGCCTGGTAAACCATAGGCAGAGAGGGAGGGAGAAGAGGACAACAAACGAGAGGGGCTGTGACAAACTGTTTCGAGAAATGGCCACAAGCCGATTGTGCTGGCGTGCGCGATAACGTTCTATCCTATGCTGTGCTGAATAATTTTTTAGATATCTTGTGCATTATCGCTGTGATTTGCAGCCATGTGTGCACGTGCGTCTGGTCAGGCGTCATTCTGACTATTACTGCTCTCATCAAACTGTTTCGTCGGAGTTTATATATATATATATATATCGTCACAAACAGAACTGCCCGGTAAACCGTAGGCAGAGAGAGAGAAGAGGACAACAAACGAGGGGCTGTGACAAACTGTTTCGTCGGAGTTTCATATATCATCAAACATATATCGTCACAAATAGAACTGCCCGGTAAACCGTAGGCAGAGAGAGAGAAGAGGACAACAAACGAGGGGCTGTGACAAACTGTTTCGTCGGAGTTTCACCGACTCATCAGGAGGTATATATCATCAAACATATATATATATCGTCAATATATATATATATTATAAATATTATATATGTGGAAAAACATCACAATTGGAAAACACGACTTCGAGAATTAGGGCAAAAGCGTACAAATACTAAGAACAGCAGTTATTCAACTGAACTCTGGATGTGATTGCGTCCAGATGCACTGGCGCCGAAAGGGTGTGAGATTTATGCATCCAGGAAAATACTAGTACGAGTATGCCCTCAGAGCAGAGAGTCCATCCTCCCCATTTTGTGGGTATACTCACACAATGACTTTTCCAACCAAGCTCTGGCCGTGATTGCAGTTAGGTTCATCCAGCTGTGAACCAACTAGCATTCCGATGGATTTCGGAAACGGCGAGTGTGACTATGCCCTTTGTCCCCCCAAAAAATATTTTATATCCATATCAGAATATATATTTTATATAGCAAGCATATCTATATATCACAAGCATATCTCTATCGGACTAATATTTAATATATGTAATATCTGTAATGTATGTAATATTAGTAATATATAGTCAAACAGAGCTGCCGACGGTAAACCGTAGGCAGAGAGGGAGGGAGAAGAGGACAACAAACGAGGGGCTGTGGCAAAAACTGTTTCGTAGGAGTTTCACCGACTCATCAGGATATGTATATGTTCATCTATATTTAGATATGTCCATACGACGATATCTATATCTACAAAAAGATCATTTTCTATTTTCAAATTTTCACAGCAAAATTTGCTACTCATACATATTAGTACCGTATTAACCCGAATCCAATTATAGACTAGTATTTGGGACAACTTAGAGTCTAGACTCTAAAGGCATCAATAATCACCGTACGCTGGATTCGGGTGAAGACGGTAGCTCGACTCTATGGTGTATGTGGGACATGGCCCCGTGAAGAAGGGGAAAAAACATCGAAACGAAAAGATACGACATGAAACAACGCGAGGCCCACCCTCGCTTTGGGCCCAGAGCGGTTTGGTGGCGGGGTCTCGCGTAGGATGGTCACGCGAGACCCGCTATTTCCTTTAGGAGTAGTGCAACATACATCTAATATATCGATGTCCTTCTACTCTGACACTCTATATAACATATCTTTTTTTCTTTTTTTTTTTTTTGAAACACATCCCCTGCCAGTGCTAGTGCCGCTGGTACGAGCAGACACCACTAGCACCCCGGGGGAGACTCCATCTATTGGTGGGGAGCAGCACCTGCTGGAAAGCGGGTCCAGCGTCCCATATATACAGATTACATGGATATGAGGCCTGCCAGCATTGATTGCCCTGTCACCCAGGGGATTGACTGAGCAGGCATTGGATGGGAACTAGCTAAATACGTGATTGTCACGAGGGGTCTGCCTCTTCAGCTCTTAACCTGGCCGCCAGATACCACCGATATACCTAGCAGACCCCTCCTCTGAGGATTGTAGTACCCCTCTCCTTCCCTTCCCCATGTTCCCCATGTTCCCTCATCCCCCGTACCATTCCAATTCCATGTTCCCTCATCCCCCATACCAGCCCAATTCTACTATACTGTTCGCAGGGGGGGGAATAGATCCGGGAAGTCATCCGTCGTTCTCATTGGAATTGCAGGATCCACCTTGGCCCACTCGTGGAAGGTCAGCCGATACTCCTCAGGTCGCGCTTCCTTTTCCTGAGCTCTCCCCAGATCCCCTTTTGTTCCCACCCGTTCCACCGTCCCTATCCTTCCCCCGTTTTTCCCCCCAAGCCAGTTTGCACTGAATTCTTGGATTTTTTGTTCTATTTCCTTGTGTGTGTGTATATGACGAATCTGTGCCTTGGTCTCTTCCCAATGTGTTGTTATGTCTGTTTGTATTTGCTGTTGTATCATTTCTGTGAACTCCGGTCCGTCCATTCTCACTCCTTCCATCTCATACGTGCAGCGTCGTCTCCATAGTGCCCAAATCACGGCCCTGCGTCCCAGCTTGAAGATATTATGAGTGAAAACATCCGCCTGCTCCTCAGTCCATGTTTCTAACAGGAGTGCTCTCCAGTTCCAGGGCCAAGCCGTTGTTGTTTCCAGCTGATTCCAGATCCTGTCCCACCATCGCCAGAGCCAGATAGCCCCTGGGCACTGCAAAAAGATATGCTCTTTTGTTTCTGATCTTTTCCTGGAGGGGAAGGAGCTGGTGCATAACTTGCACCACAGGAGGGCTCGTCCCGTCTCTTCGAGGGTCGTCCGGTCTATCAACCAATCATTGGTTGGTAGGCAGCGGTGTTCCATCTGCCATTGGAGGGAGGCCAGTTTTGCAGGTTTCGATTTGGCTAGATGGAACCATTTAACCCCCCGGAGTTCATTTTTACTGATGTTTAAATGCCGCATCCATCTATCCTCTACCCGGGCCCGGAGGTCAGTTCGAGGGCACAGCATTCTATACGCAGACTTGACTGTCATACTGTGGAGGGTCCTGGTGCCCGGTTTCCTCCTTCCCCCCGGGACTGTCCATGACCATTCCGCTGGGTCAAAAGGTAGCTGTGCAATGGGGGTGCCTGGGGCGAAGGCCACCCAGTTAGCTCCATCCTTAAGGACCCTGACCTGCAATAGTTCCTCTTTGTGGTAGAATCGTATCTCGTCGGGCGCTGGCCGATGCAGGGTATTATCCCAACCGCTCTGGAATATATCGACCACCACTGGCCCAGTCGGGCTGCAATCCACCACATTCCCAATTTCCCTTTTAGCGCCCGGAATCTGCACCCAGTCCGACACCCGTAACGTGGGACCTTGCCTGAGGATTTTCCACCAGCTGAGGGGGATGCTCTCAATGATTTCCTCTAGGGCCTTCTCCAGCCTGTGACTGTACCGTAGCTTTTGCCTCAGCAGGTCCGTGTCAATCCAGTTTGTCGTAGCCGGGTCCCATATTTCACTTACTCAAATCACACCTTGCTTCACCCACACCCGCCAAGGGGAGTCCGCCCCACGGAGAACAAGGCCTCTGGTATTGACCAGTTTCCGATTGTCAAAGAGAGGTTGTCGAAACACCTCATCCCATCGTTCGGGTAGTATCTTATCCGGCAGGGGAAGGCTCCTCCATGTGTTCAGCCGGGATGGCCAGAAGCGATCATTGCGCAGGTCATTTCTTGCCCGTTTTCTCGGCGAATTCAGCTCGGGGTTCTGATGTCCGGTGTATCCTCGCGGTATTGGCCAACCCCTATTTTCCAGCCATGTTAGTGGGTGCGTTCGCGTTGCCGTTTCCGGGGCCAGCCTGACTATTTGTTCCTGGGCCAGCCCTCTCCATGGGGTGTCCGGGTTAAAAAGCAGGCGTTTGAGCCATTGCAGGGCTAAGGCCCTGGTTTGAATTGTTGGGTCAATTATGCCCAGCCCCCCTCTAGCTTTGGGCTGGATTATGGACTGGCATGCTACCCTGTTGATCACGTGGTGTTTTTCCGGGTCGCCCCTCCATAGAAATGCGGCTATCTAACGTTTCAGAGGTCGGAGGGCTGCGTTATCAAGAGCCCAAAGAGCTGACCGGTACCACAGGGAGGCAAGAACGACATTGTTAATTACCAAGGATCGTCCCATCAGCGAGGTATGCCGGTCCTTCCACTGTGTTAACTTTTCCAAGGGCGGTTTGGAAATCCAATCATTATTCCCTGATGGTCGCCCGTTTGCTGACAGTGCAACACCCAACACCCGGATGGGAGATTCATTGGGGAACCATTTGACTTCCGGTGTCTCCGGGGGTCTGACACCTTGATGGTGGATCCACCATCCCAAGGTTTTGTTCCCCCAGTTGACTCTCATATCAGACAGGGAACAAAACCTTTCCATCATTTGTTGCACCTCCTCCATTGATGCATGGGATGCCTCCACCATCAGTGTGAGATCGTCAGCGAACAGTGAACACACCGGGACTGCTTCCCTGGGGATTGAAGAGATCTGGATTTTCCTAATGTCCTTGTTGGTCCGCAAATTCGCTGCAAGAGCTTCCATTACTATCACAAACAAGTACGGGGCAATCGGGTCCCCTTGCCTAACAGATCTCTGGAGGGAGATAGGCGGCGCGAGGTTGCCATTGATCACGACCCTAGTTGTCGCGTTTTTGTGCAGGATTTCCACCCAGCGCCTGAAGGCGGGACCAAAATTAAGCTTCTCCAGGCATTTGTCTAGAAAAACCCAATCCACGTGATCGTAAGCTTTTTCAAAATCAATAAAGATAATTGTTGCGTTGTGTTTTCACTATCTTGTAAGTTTGATCACCTCATTGACAAGAAGGATGTTATCTTGGATGTTCCTGCCTTTAATGAAGTCAGTCTGGTCGGGGTGGATGATGTCGGCCATTATCTTAGCCAAACGGTTGGCCTGTGCCTTCGCCACCATTTTATAGACCACTGTGAGGAAAGTGATAGGCCTATAGTTCCGGATATTAGTGCTTTCACCTTTCTTGTAGAGGAGCGTCAGCACCCCTTGGCCCACAAATTCCCCCATTTGGCCTGTCTCCCACAGTGTGTGATAGTAGTCCATCAAGTCTTGGGAGATAGTTCCCCACATCGACTCCCATAACTCTTTTGGCAGACCGTCGATACCCGGGGTCTTCTCCTCGTCCATGAGCATCAGGGTTGTCCACACCTCCTCCTTTGTTAGTGGCATCTCCAGCTGCTCTCTCTGATGCTCTGTAAGAGTTCGAGAGAGGGGACTCAAGAACTCCTCTATCTCCCCCAGGCGCTGTGCGAGGGGTCTGTCCCCGCATTCCGACTTAAAGAGGTTCTGATAGAAGTCCCTAGCTATTTTGGTGCACTCAGCTGTTGAGGTGAACAGCGGTCCCCGATGAAGATTGGGGTCCTCCAGTGCTTCAATAGTTGTTCTGCCCACTTTTGTCTTGGCCATTGCGAAAAACCTTACATCCATTGATCCTTCCACCTTATGTTTGTGTAGCTTGCCACGGATCCGAATGCCTTGCCATCTATGTTCCATGTGGTCAAGGATCCGGGTTTCAAGTGTCAGTATTTTTGTGGCCAGTTCCTTTCGTTGCTCAGTGTCATCTATATAACATATCTACTTATACGGTTATACGGAACTGATACCCATTTATTCTATATACTGGCCATGTTGTGTAGATACTAGATATCCATATGACGATATCTATAATTAAGAGGACGGATCTTCGACATAAAAGAGACTGCGGACGGTTTGGCTTCACAATCCAATGGCATCATTACGTAAGAACAATGCGTAGCATCAGTCATGGCATGGACCATGGTGTTGTTGTCCCACAACTCCCAGTGGTCAGACGCACGTACAATGGCCATATAATGGCCAGGTCCGTGCACAATGCAGACAGAGATGTTTGGACGGGACGAAGGATTTAACCACTCACCTGCTCGAGCCTAGCATAGTTCACGTTGGCGGTCCCTCATTGCTACTTGTAGGACAGCAATGGTAAATCCTCTTTCCCTGGTATAACTACAATCCTCTGGCTGTAGCTGGGGGAGATCAGCATCAAGCTGCTGACGGGCGATTGCAAGGACGTCAGACGGTGTGGATACAACGGGCGGTGAAGAAAGTGACGACCGATATTAAGTCGCACTCAGACCACAGAGTTTGGCGTGGATCTCATGCTGGTGCGTGCGGCGCCGGATGCTGGCTAACAATTTGCCGATCGCCCAGACGGTGTCGCAAGCCCAAAATGTGTTGGGTTGTTTGTCGGTAAATCATTTGCAAATCATTTGCAGATCACCCATGCGGTCTGCACGCGGCAGGGCACGGATTTGCAGGTGTGCAACCCGTGCCGCTGACCCGGCGGAAACATCCAGGAGGCAAGAGGCAAATCTGGCTATATGCTGAAACCTCCAACGAGTATCCAATAATGGATGTGTCGGTGCGGACAATCAGCAGGGAAGCGTAAAAAAAAAAAAAAAAAAAAAAAAAAAGGGCAAATTAGATACTCAGGAAGAGGACCCGTTGTTCGTGGTGTTGCTATGAATCCTGCTGACCATTCTCATGGAGGAGGAGAAGGACGTACAAAAGGAGGCCGAAGGTCCGTTTCTCCTTGGGGAAAACAAACCAAAGGTTGTGGAGGAGAAGGACGTACAAAAGGAGGCCGTACAAAAGGAGGCCGAAGGTCCGTTTCTCCTTGGGGAAAACCAACCGAAGGAGGAGGAGGAGAAGGACATACAAAAGGAGGACGTACAAAAGGAGGTCGAAGGTCCGTTCCATCCAAACGATGCTGGTCAGCCGTTTGCAGATCCCCCATCTGGTCTACGCTTCATGGGGAACTGCAGTCAGGGATCATGCTAGAATCCCTCGACGATTGGGAGTGCACCCCTGGGTTAGGACTCTACCCGAGCGTGGGAGTGCACCCCTGGGCTGGCGTCGCGTCCCTTTTTTTTTTTTTTTTTTTTTTTTTTTTTTTTACAGGTAACTCGTGAATATTTAACGCTGAAGGGCGCATGAAACATGGTCCCCTGGCCGCCTGCAAGCAGCTGGACTGTCTGCAGGTGGCATAGGAGCAGATATTGCCATTTGGCACAAAGGAGCCGCAGTAACCTGTGGAGCAGGCACAGAGAGAATCGGGGCAGACAACGAAACAAGCTGCTGATACCCGGACAAGCGACGTCGCGGCGCATGCCGTCGAGGAAACGCGATAAGAGGAGTAGTGCTGTCGTAACTGACGATGATCGTGTCCCTGGTAATGACGATGGAACAACGGGAACAATGGGAGCAATATGAACCGGCGAGTCCGTTTGCAAGCAGACTATGCCCGTGGAGGAGATGGGAGAGGGGGGCGGCGAGGAGTTACGCAGGCGTCTATGGCCAAGCACAGAAAGAGACGAGAGACGGCGGTGGATTGGGCAAGATTTCGGAATAAAGGACGTGCATTTCGGAGAGACAGTGATGATCTTTGCAGTGGAGCTGTGGCAGAGGAAGTATAGCAGTAAAAGCTACAGTAGAGGGGGGGGAATTGCAGCTATGGAAACTGCTGTACGGAAAACTGCAGCAGTAGAAGTACAAACTACAGCAGTGGAAACTGAAGTAGAGGAAACTGCAGCAGTGGAAGTAGAAACTGCAGCCGCGGAAGTGGAAACTGCAGCCGCGGAAGAGGAAACTGCAGCCGTGGACACTCCAGCAGTGGAAGTAGAAACTGCAGCAGTGGAAACGGCAGCAGTGGAAACTGTGGTAGCAGCAGATGAGCAAGCAGCGGTAGGACGAAAGTGCCGTGGGGGCAAAGAAGAATATGGATGACACAAGGACCATCGCAGCATGCGTCGGGACCACTAAGCAAGACATGTCAGATAAGTAGGATAGCGACGTTGGCGAGAGCGCATGTAGCACTAAGAAACGAGCGCACTTTTCGAAACACACGGCAAAAAAAAAACAAAAATCCAGGACCAACATCAGGGGCACACAAGCCATTCATTTTTCTCGTTCTTCTTTTTACCTCCCCTTTCAATGAAGTTGAGTGTGAGCTGCCCGCATCCCCGTGTGCCATAACGGCCCAGTTGTACACTGCACGAAAGAGGCAAAGCAAAGGGGGAGGGGATAAACAAAGCGAAGAGAATTGGAGAGAAGACAAACAAAAAACGACAAAGGGAAATTGTCTATCTATCTATCTGTCTATATGTATATGTACATATGGTCATATATATATATGTCACTTTCCCAAGAAACAATTGGTATGCCATGATAGAGTTTGCATGGAAAGTGAAGAGAGCCCAAGAAGAATACTCTCAGTAGCTAGGATAACTACTGTGAGGGGCAAACTCTATGAGGTGACAGGGTGTGGTAATCCTTTTGTGATCCTGAGACATGTACAAGGTCACCAGCCCGTACGTACGGAGGTCCCCAGGCAGACCTACGTACGTACAAGCGTTCGGGGTGCCGTTCGGGGTCCGAACCCGGAGGTGTTCAGGCCCCACCAAAAATTACTTCGCGGCCAAAAATAATAAAATTGTTTTTCTGATTTATTTTTTTTGTGAGTTCTCTATGACGTGAGGTACATGCCTATAAATTTTGTCGTCATTTGACTCAGCCAAATAAGAATAAAAAATCGCCACAGATGGCGGTGTCAAAACGGGCTCGCCCACGTTTTATTTCACTTTTTACTTTTTGTTTTTAACTTTTCACTTTAGTTTCGGGGTATAAACAATTTTATGATTTTTTGAAACTTTTTTAGTGGATTTTGTATTCTGTGAAGGACACATCTGTAAATTTTCAGGGCGTTTGGCTATGCAAAAAAAAAGAAAAAAATCGCCAAAGATGGCGGCGTCGAAATCGTGCTCGCGCACTCACTAAATTTAGTTCTCCTTTTATTTTTTGTTATTTGAACTTAATTTTATTATTAGTATTTGTTCTCCGTATTTTATTTTTATTTCAAATTTGGTAAGGAATTTGGACGCAATGCTCAGGCAAATCTTGTTTAATTTATTTTTCTTCATAACATATCTTTTCTTCTCTTTTTTTTTTTTTTTTTTTTTTCTTCTCTTTTTTTTTTTTTTTTTTTTTTTTTTGGGTCTGCATTCGATCCGAACGGCTGAACGCATCCCCGAGGGGTCCCATATGTTCATCGCCAACGGGTCCCATACGTTCGGGCGTTCGCTTCGGGCATTCGGCCCATCCCCGAGGGGTCCCATATGTTCATCGCCAACGGGTCCCATACGTTCGGGCGTTCGCTTCGGGCATTCGGCCCATCCCGAACGCCGGTTACCCAGTACATATATATATATATATATTATATCGTCAAATATAACCTACGATGATTGGTGGGAAGATATGGACCAAGCATACAGTCTGCAAGGTCCTCCATCTGACAGCCGCTTGAGGGTCCACCTCTTGGTCTGGTGCCTAGCCTGGGGCGTGGTCTGCGCCTTGGTTTGCTGCTCAGACTGGAAGTGGTTTGTGGGCCCCACCTCGGTGGCTGGTACTTAGTCTGCTTTGCTTTGTGTGTGGAAGGTAGGTACCCTCCATGGCAGTGGCTTGTGGGCCCCACCTCGTTGGAGGGGTACCGGTCCCAGCGCTTGGTGCCCACCCTTAACTGGGGTTAAGGGGGATTGTCATCGGAGGCAGACGCTTCCTGCGCGCCAAGCTTCAGCGTTCTTCTTCTTTTTGTTTCTTTTGGCTCGCACCACCAGCCATTGGGGTCTGGTAGCCCCAACCCTTCTAAGCACCCCCAATGTGACATTTCCCATCCTCGACATTGCCGAGGAACGGTAGTGGTGTTTTCTAAGACACTGCAGATCGTCGAGGCTGAGGGTTCGACTCTCCGACTGACATATCAGGGGCGAAACGTCGACCAAACAATCTCTTGCAACCCCCCTTACCCACCCCTCTCAAAATGACCGGTTACTTGCGGTGACTATCATATCTGTTACGGACTTCGCCAGGGCTCGATCCCTGGTCTATCTTTTGCTGTTTCGGCTGCATCCCGTTTTCAGCCTGGCACCCTTTTTCCAAACCTCTCCTTTGGTACCGTAGGATTTTGGACAACTGGCGCCATGCTGCAATTCGGGCGCCACTTTCAAATACTGCATTTTTCAGTTCTGCCCTCGGGGCCTTTGCAGAAATGCCCCTGGTGCCGTACGTGTCACCGGT